GCGAGAGGTGCCTTCTCTTGGCGAGGAGTGGAGCTTGAACTCACCGTGGTCTTCCCAGCGCTTATGGACAACCGAATGATTTTGCGAGCTCGTTCATCCGTGAAACCATAGACTGCAGACCACCAAAACTGGGGGGAAGTATGGCAGTATCATCAGCATACTCGAGATCAGTCAGTCGGTTTCTGGGTGCAAACTCAACACCGTCAACTTCGTGTAGGGCCTTCTAGAGAATTCAGTCATTAACGTAGTTGAAAAGAATGGACGACAGGATACAAACCTGTCGAACTGCAGACCGAATACCAAACGGTTGGGAAGGATTGTTGTAGACCAGAACTTTCGCAGTGATGAAGCGATAATAGGCCTTGCTTATGGCGATGATTTTTGACAGTACGCCATTTAATGCCATTATCCCCCACAGGGACTCACGATGGACGGAATCGGATGCGGCGGCAGTCAACAAAACAGACGGCCGTCGGTTGCTGGTAGCTATCGCGGAATCCGAGAATGCGCCTCTCCGTGAATACCTGGTCTGCGCATCCACTTCCAGCACGAAATCCGGCTTGGTTGAGCCTGGTCCTTGAGTCACGCACCCCCTGGAATCGTTTGCGAGGGATAATTGCGAAGATCTTTACAGCAACGTCGATGAGGCTTATGCCGCGTAGTTCTCGCATCTCGTCTTATATCCCTTCTTGAGGATAGGTACAAGGATGCTTGAACCCCAGTCATCGAGAGCAACCTCGTCTCTCCACACTTGTTCAATCACCTCATGGAGCCAGGGCGCCAGAGTGCCGACACAAGACTTGTTGATTTCCCCGAGTATATCGTCCTCTCCGGGTGCCTCGTTGTTGCATAGCCTTTGTATGGCATCGGCCACTTCTCTTTCAGAAGGGGAGCCGCATCGGTTGTAGAGAGAGGAAACTCTGCTACAGAGGAGAACAAGGGCTTAGTGTGTTGGGTATCGAAGTTGAGATGGTGCTCAAAATGCCCACGCCAGCGCTTGAACTAGGCTGAGTTGTCAACAATAAAGCCACCATTCACGTCGCGAACAGAGCCACTCAATGCTTAGGGCTTACCATTAACTTGGCGTTTAAGTTGGTAGAGATTTCAAGTGTCAGCAACGTTCGAGGCCTGTTTCAGCCCAATATTGCTTCCAGTCATCGCTGGCTGACTCTGCCGTCATATTTTGGAGTAGGCGGAAAGAATCATCATTACAGGACCTGGCTCGTGCCGTCTGAGCATACAACTGCAGGGTTCTTCCGCTGATCTGGTCACTGCGGCGTCGCTGGGTGTATCCAAGGATTTTCTCCGCTGCCCCATAGACCGACGTTTTCGGTGACGACCACTGGTTATTGCCTTCTCCGTCCGCTCGGGCGGTGAAACAGGACCGGGTTTCTCTGCTCAGGGCCTCAGCAGTACTGGCTTGTCGGATCTTTGCGACATCGAGGCGTGTAGGACGCGACATTTTTGGCGCGGATGAGAGGTGAACTTTTGGGCGTGTACGAATGAGGACATGGTCCGACCCATGGGCGTTACCGGTCTCGGCAACACGCATCGATCTGATATCGTGAACCTAGCTGCGGAACCTTCAGCTGACTGGTATGTAGTTAGTTTGACTGACTGTATGGCCGTCTTTTGAATACCAGATCAGCAGGTGTTTTTTGCGATGCTGGAAACATGTGTTGGTGACAAGCAGTCGGTTTCGATGAGCGAAGTTCAGCAATCTCTCACCATTTTCACATCGGGAACCAAACGCGAAGCGGCAAGAAGATGACTGTTTGTGCGGTAACCAGGTCCAGTTCAGCCATCCCAACTACCAGCAACAATCAGCAGATCGATAAGAAGAAGAGGAGATCGCTGGAACAAGGGCTTTATTCTCCTGACGTTTCGGATTCTCACTTGAACCCATCATCAGAGACAGTGGCAGAAACGGGTGGCTCGTGTATAGGAAGTTGCAGTATTTATAGGATGCAGTCGCTATGCTACCGCATACCTATGGTACTTAACCGCGCTTCCCTTCATCAAGAATTGTTGCCTGCTGGTGCGCTAATAGCTTGATGGCCGACATACAAGTTGTTAATTACTGAAATCTCAGCGCCCGTGTTGGATGCTGGCGTGATGATTGCTCGATCATCTGGCTCACCGGCTTGCGCGCTCCCCAAGTGGTCAATTGTTTTGGCCAGCCTATGCCTCAGCACAGAATATGGAGTGGGGATATCGTTGCACTTGTCGATAGACTGAGGTCCCGTGAACCATGACTCAAGCAACTAGCTGCTCACACTTCTCTCAAGAATTTCGGCTTCATCGAACTTGAATGTGTGTCCTGTTCTCGGCGAATGGGCCGCGACCTGAGAGTTGGCGTCATTTCTCCGCACCGCTGCCGCGTGTTCGGCAGTTCGCGTCCGGAGAAGTCTTTCAGTTTCTGCGGCGCATGCCGGCCATCAAGCTATTAGCGCACCAGCGGGCAGCAATTCTTGGTGAAGGGGAGCGCGGTTAAGTACCATAGGTATGCGGTAGCATAACGACCGCATCCTATAAATACTGCAACTTCCTATACACGAGTCACCCGTTTCTGCCACTGTCTCTGATGATGGGTTCAAGTGAGAATCCGAAACGTCAGGAGAATAAAGCCCTTGTTCCAGCGATCGCCTCTTCTTCTTATCAACTAGTTCCTGGAACTCACATCTTCGCTTGTATCGGCAATCCGCAGATCGCGGCGAGGCAGTCTTTCAACTAACTCCTGCAACTGCGAGTCAAACGCCTCTTTATCGCACTGTTCAGCAATTGAAGTTGGTGCGTAAACAGAGACGATAGTTCGCGAAGTGGCCCTTCATTCACACGCAGGCCATCTGGTCATTGACTGGTTTCCAAGCAAGTAAAACGAGGTCCGCCTGTTGCGAGAGGGCGATCGTCACACCGTTTTTACCATAGGAGTGGGGTGGGCCGCTGTGGTACAGGGTTAAGTGTGAGTCGACTCCATGGATATTTGTTCCCCGAAAGTCGGAGTCAGGAACTCGAACTTCAGACCGACAGTAGACATCCACCTTGTACTGATCAAGGCTGCGCGCGGTCAGACTTTGGATACCAGGGTCCAGGAACGTTCGCATATTTCAGCATCCAATACCAAGAATCCGTCCCCGATTAAGTAGTCCAGTTCGCATAATATTCGCCCGCACTATTGGACCAGGGTTGCCGTAGCATTGGTTGTAATACTCTAGTCGGACATATTTCATGACGTTTCTTGGGCGTCCTGGCCCACAACAAGCACTTCTCCAGGATTTCTAACCAATAACAGCACAACAACGGGTCGGAAAGACGAGAATGACTGGGCAACCATGCACATGACCTGTACACCTATCAGGAGCGCAAGCGCATCTGCCGGAAGGGAACCAGGGGCCAGAGAACTACCAGCGCATAACAGGCTGCGAGGGCCGTGGTTTGCTGATACTGACGCAGCGGACGCTTACAGACCTTTAATGTTTACACTGCCACCCTTTTCACGCACACAAACATCCAGAAAGTGCCTAGTTCTGTTCGATAATGTGTCTACACATCAACGATAAGCAAAACACCACATATCGCTCGCGCAAAAAACGTGAAGCGATATTTGACAATTACGTTACTACGGGTGAAACATAGAATACCAATATGTGCATCTGTCGCCTAGGAAAAGTCTATGTTTGTAGTGGAGTGTGGTTCACGTGGAGTGAGAGATTGGCGTCTACAGGACACTCGTCAGGTGGAGCCTGATGCAAAGTCACTCACTGCGTCCAATTGCGCGATCAGTTGGCGGTAATTCGGCTCGCAGCGACAAAGCTCTAACCAGGTGTTTACCTTCCTCAGGGTAATGAACCAAAGAGTTCTTAACTCTAGCGATCGGTCAAAAGTCGTGACTTGACGGACTGTCAGGTGACGGAATAACTCAGTCCTATCTGAGAGCGAGGGTCAGATTGCAATGTGCATTTAACTAGAGAGTGTATACGTAACTGTTGCATACGTCTGCTTCTCTGTAAACAAATGCACACGCAAGCCGGCACTGCGTCGAGTGGACGATGGTGTACTCGCCTCTCGCAGCGGCCTAAAATAAATGAAAGTATAGTAGCCAGCGCTGACCGATCAGGGTACGGGACGTGCTCATTTTGTTGTGCCTTGGGTTTTAATCTAACCTTCTTAGGCGCACAGCGGCGCATGATATATAGGCAGAATGGCCCGGTGGGTAGAGGCGTGGTCTTCTAAACCAACAGGTCGCAAGTTCGAGGCTCGGGTGTTGCACACTTCGGACTTGGGTATGGCTGGCTGACGACGGCAAATAAGCCAGAAATGGTCATTCCAGTCTCCCTTGTCTTTGTCGGTAATATCATTCTGCCTATATATATAAATATAATGGTAGGGGACACACACCAATCGTTCCTGCGGAACTCACTCGTTCCGTTGTGTCTTATGGACTCTCTCTCGAGCCCAACCAGCAGGCGCACAGCGGCGCATGATAGAGGCAGAATATCATTACCGGCTGACGACGGCTAACAAGCCAGAAATGGTCATTCCAGTCTCTCTTGTCTTTGTCGGTAATGCCATTCTGCCTATATACATGTATATAGGACGGCCAATGTGACATAAATGACCATCTTCGTCTCCCTTTTCTTTGTCAGTATCCCATATATATATGGGAAGTAACCTTCACTGTCATTATTACTTAGAATTGACTAAGTCCGGTATGTATAAATACGCAGTCGAACTCAGAGATATCCCGGTTGTTAATATCCGGTTTGGGTATTGTAGGTACGTTCGTTAGTCAAATGCCGATAGTAATTCAAACTCCCTAATGCAAAAGTCTCCAGTTGGCATAAGCACATCTAAGCATATAAAAATATTTCTACAGGGCAGCACCCATGTATGTACAATATGTATAAATTCTGGCCTGTCGCAGTCTACACAGTCACCTCCAGGCAGAAGTATTGTACAGGAAACACAAGGAGTCTGACAATTTCAACACTGGTCCTGTCTCATCTCCGAAAAAGGGTCTTCATGGCGGGCAGATTGAGCCAAAGTTCAAGGCGGGAGGGACAGAATGTGATGTCAGGACGTCGGTAGGAGGGACCCCAACCTTTGCCCAGACTGATATGTATGACAGGCCCTGCCAGAGATTTGCCCGGCCAGTGTTGCGTAGGATCTTGACTGCCACAGAGTCTCTGATAGACGCTCAGGTCAAATACGGTGAGCGAGTGACCGGGAGCCACGCGAGCTACAGGCCAATCAGAAATGAGGTCATGTCCGTCCATGACGAAACAGGGAGAGGCCACAAAGATGGGCATCGAGGGTGACAAGGTCCGGTTGGTGAGGAGCACCTTTCCGCCAGGCAGCAGCAGAAGACTAATGCCCTCAGCTCCGAGCCTTAGGCGTTGTCTGGTCGAGGTCCCCGCCTGCTGGCAGTCAGCCCGTCGCTGAATACAATCGAAGTTGTAGGCCAGGCCTGGCTGACAGTCGAGCAGACTGTTCAGTTGATACTCTGGTCTTGCTGCCTCACTGCGATAGGCCGCACAACGCTTTACAAGACGCTCCAGGCATAGGTGTCCCCTACGACTCCAGAGGTTCGTTGGACTTGCCAGACTAGAGAACAGTTGATCTGGAGGCGACGGATCGTTGGAAAAAAGGCGACTGGGCAGAGCAAGGTCCAGTTTACTGGCGGTCGCCTCTTCGTTGAGTACAATGACGTCGGTCTCGGAGACGGGTAACCATCGGTGGCCTATATGGTGATTACACTCCCAGTAGGAGATGTGCAACCACGGCTGGGCGGTTCCTCCTGCCTCGGAGCAGTCGGGTACACAACCAGAATCAGCCTCTGTGAGCTTCTGTTGATCACGATCAATGACAGGGCGGATACTCATGGAAGTAGACATGATCCGATTGTCATTTGCCTTGGCGCATGTCAGCATCAGTACCACGGGGACGGTCGTCAGCGTCTTTCTCTTAGAGCGCACCGGAAGACACCAGCCCGACCCTATTCCGACCCCCGTCAGGAATCTTTGAAGACGTTTGAGGGCTATCCGAACTTGGTGTGTCGAAGCTGCGTTATCTAAAAAAGACAGATCCTTTCTTAAGACCCAAAACCTTTCATAAATATGGGAAGGGGAGTTGGTTTAGCTAGACCTAAGGAGGTGCTGCAACAGAAGTTATATGTGGTCATACAAAGGACAGGTGTCTATCGATTCTACTCTAAATCCGTCTTTGGTAGTCAGTGGGTCTGCCATTACTCTCTTGGTCAAATGTGAAAAACCCAGCAGCCTCGTTCGGATTCGAACCCACAACAACAAGGGGGAGACTTAGCTATAGCCATCGCTCTAAAAACCTGAGCTACGAAGTCCCACTGGAAGTCGTAATTTTAATCACACCGGGTCAATTTACCCGTCCGGCTTCCACAGAAAACCTGCGATTATTCAGACTACTTGTCTTGGAATGATTGTCCTCCAGTATATTTAGGTAAGGAAATGATGTGATCATATCTCCAGATAGGCACTGCTTAAAAGCAAACACCTAAATGCCAGGTTTCAAGGAAAGCAGTCGACTTTATTCCAATATTTTTTGTATGTTTGGAACATACTACTTGCTGGTGGGTGTGAATGTGTGGACAGTAGTCGGCCATTCTGCGGAATTGTATAAGTTGAATATTTCCTCAAACATAGGAAGTATAAGCCAGTACGTTTTCCAAAAATCCTTCTGCATAATCCCTTGGTAGTGGGGATGAAAGCATGAAGCTAAATCTCGCGATTGTTGATTTGTCGGCCCTCAGCAACCGCATGCGCCAACTTAGCCTGCTTCTAACGGAACTCATGAGTTCCTTTTTCATCATGTCAAATCACTATGGGCCATCTCCCATTGGGCGTGTGTCGTAGCCGGCAGAGCGTTTGCTGATCATTCAGTGGTTATGTCTTATTGCGACTCTGTTCGAAACAATACATGCCTAGAAGTTTGTTATACAATGGTAGAGGGACGCACACCGATCGGTTTTTACGGACTCACTCGTCCCGTTGTGCCTTAGGGCTCTCTCTCGAACCCAACCAGCAGCCGCACAGCGACGCATGATATGGGCAGAATAGCATTACCGACAAAGACAAGGGAGGCTGGGACGGCCGTTTCTGACTTATTGGCCATTGTCAGCTAGCCGTACCCAGCAACGAAGTATGGACCGCCTAGGGCTCGATTCCTCGACCTGTCGGTTAGAAGTCCGGCGCCTCTCACCACTGGGCCACGGGCTAGTTGTCCTACTGCTTGCGATCGGAAATACACAATGGTAGAGCAGACAAAAACACATTTTAAGGCCTCTGGTATGGTTGATTTTGCCTTCCTGTCTTCTTAAAACAGTTCGTCTGGTGCTCATGAATATGACCAAAACAGCCTGATTGACAGACTTTTAGTACTTTTCCCCAATTAAATGAGAGTAAGGTGCAGGCATAGTTACACAAATCCCTCTTCAGAAAACAGTTGGATGCTAATGCGTACAAGTTTAGTTATCCGTATGGCTACAGAGCTGTCGTCAACAGCCTGGTTAAGCTTAAAATAAGTGAAGTCGCCGTCCCCACAGCTTCCCCCCCTCCCCCGGCCTCCTACTCTTAAAAACCAGCCCAGCAACGGTACAGTCTTTCAAAAAAGAAGTTGCAAAAAGAGTTCTGCTGGTCAGCCCCGTCGCCAGCGTTGTTGTCGTTGCCCTTTGTCTGTTTGACCCATTGTCGTCGCCCCCTGATGCAAACGATCGGAAGTCAGGCGCCTCGGGGCCGCACGTCGAGGTGAGTGGAGTGCTCTCTGGCCACTTTGACAGATGAACCAGTTGCTCTCGGGCGCCACCCTAAGTCAAGAGCAGAAGAGGCAGAGGAGGAGGAGGAGGAGGAGGAGGAGGAGGAGGGTGGCGTCTAACGGGGAAAGACAAGCCGGTCAGAGCGAGACTGAGAGAGATGGCTATTGTCCTCCGATGACGACCGTTGGCGCCAAAGACGCTCACTCACTCTCCCCTTCCTCTCCGCGTCGCCGTCGCCGTCGTCGTCGCCGCCGCCGCCGTTGTTCTTCAGCCGCCAAGGTACTGTTGCGTCCGTCCGGCGACGCGGACCCTCCTTGGGCACTGAGCTGTACGTCGTGGCACCGTGTCGTTCAAGATTGGCGCCCGCAGCTGCGGTGTCGCCATTGCGGTGCGCACATCCTCTACGCACACGTGCTCTCGCGTACGTCTGTACGTCCGTGCGAGAGACACTGCCTTATAAACAACCCTCCCTCAGCTGGACGTGCGTGCTCGCGTATACCAACAGCGGACTTGTTTCGGAGTTCGTACCCGATTTACATCAACGCAAAAAGGGAAATGCCTCGATGGGCAGACCTCTAATCTCCCAACGGCGGGCTCATGTGTCATGTATGCGTTTCAAAAAACCACCACCACCACCAGGCCGACAGAAACACAAGAAGTTGGCACTGCAAATGTCAAGGCAGGATCCGCAGGTGCATCCTCCAAACGCGGGCGCTGACCTTTCAGCGAGAAGAAGTTATGCTCACGTTAGGTTTTGATGAACTTTTCTTGATGTACGAGACCGGTGGTGCGTCCTGCATGCATATGCAGGCGTCCTCTTTTACGCTCAGTTTTGCTTCAGTCTGGATAGACGAGATAGACGGGAGAATCACCTCGGTAGAAGTACGTACAGTTAGATGAGAATGGCATGAGAACTGCGGTGTCTAGGCAGGTGGAATGTAATTATCTAAGCCGCCAACATAGACGGCTGACATCTCAGGCGAAACATGCCTAAATTACTCGTGCGTGGTCTTAACGGAGTGATCTGGTGGGAGAAGTAGATAAGGAGGGTATAAGGATCAGTAGGGACGTTGGAACTTCGATTCGGTTTAAAAGCAACTGCACACAATCTCCACATTAGATGGCTAATCAACTCGGATCAGTGTGTGGGCGAGGGAAGAGGAAGTACGATCGACTCTGGGGACTCTGCCCGAACAGCACTCAGCGCATTTTCCTCACCACAAACAATCTGATAAGCTCATATCTATATTCTAGAAGCCGTAACCTGGGGGGTTGCCAATTGACGGAATTCGGTCCAAGACGGTGAGTCACACTGCGATGGCTTCTACTTAAAACTGACTCCTATGGCATCCCCCACACATTCGAGATCCGAAGTACTCCCTTCTTGTTTCCGTGAAACACTGGTCCACCAGACGTGCCCAGCACGCACACACAGGCGGACTGTTTAGCCTTGTTAGTCACTGCGCCCGATCTCGCCTCCGATCATCCTGAATCTGTCTTGACACCCTAGGCCAAGGTGGGTGGGGGGGGGAGGCAGTACGGTAGATGCAGCGCAAGTCTACCCTCACTACGACAGTTCAAGCGTCGTGACTGGCGATGTCCACCGCGTGTCCCGCAGCAGGGTGAGAGCTGGGACGGTGACCTGATGCTAGTAGACTTACGCTGCATCTAACTCACTCTCTCGTTCTCTCCATACCTAGTTTTGGTGTCATGACAGAGTCAGGAAGACTGGAGGCAGGAGAGGGCAGGCTGTCAGGACAAAATCCGCACCTAGCCGTACCACCACACTCCCTGGTCCGCAACGTACACTGAACAAGATATAACACATCAGGAAAAATAGTGGGCGACAGGGGTCCCAACTAGGTGCGTATTCCCATTAACTCTTTCCGGATCTCTTGCTAGTCCCTGTGTCGGTTCAGCGCATCTACCGCGGAGACTGGCTTCGGAGCACACTTCTAGCACCGAAAACTAATTCACGTGGACGTCAACGTTCCTGCGCCGGTCGGTCATCGCGGCACACAGGGGGAATTTTCGTTCGCGACGGTTCAACTGTCACCTCGCCTGTATAGAGTAGGTGGGCTAACTCATGAAATGTTGGCCGAAATTTCGAAATGCGTTCTCGTTTCGAAAAGATTAATTAAGTATGGTTGTAAAACTAATCACCGTCTAGCATAATTCTGTAATGATCCAGTTACCTCAGGGTGCCTTCTTTCGAATGAACTCCTTTCCGACTGCATGCAAGAACTATACTCGGCAAAAAATGACTACTTATGTAGCATGCAATTTTTCCATTGATTTTCGATGCCCTTAAAATTTTCATTATATTTCATGAAAAAAAGTGTATAACATATTCCTTCTTTTATTTATTCCGTAGAAAATAACGCCTTCTTTCAATATTATACTCGAAGGAGAAGTATAATTCGGTTTGAAAAAAGTTTCTAATTGCGATTTTTTTAATACCGTGAAGTTGCCGTCCATAAAACGTCAGGTATCTGTGGCTTGTAAAGTTAACAATATTGCTCAAACCCACTGCTTTATTTTATGAAATTCATATGGTCTCCTCTTAATACCGTAGAGAAATGTATGGTTTTCCGTACATGGAAAAGATACGGCTTGTAGTTTGGAAACCCTGAATGCAAGTATAACAGCAGGTTGAGTTCGAAATTACTCGGGAATTGGAAAAGTTTTCTAAAACCGAATTATATTCTTCTTTCGAGTATAAGATTGGAAGAAGACTCATTTCCTACCGAACGCATTTCGAAATTTCGGTTGAAATTTCACGAGTTAGCCCACCTACTGTATATAGGGAAATTTTTGAGTTTTTCAAACCACCCTCGGACTTCCGAAACTTCACAGATGAGCCGGATGATTCAGCAGAAGAAACTGTTTTGTCCCAGCGATCTCACTGTCTTTTTTCATTTTTACTGTTCTGGTACTTGAGGTTTTACCTTTATCTGCCACAAAAAGCCCCGAAGTCAAATAAATATAGGCGTGGTTTGTGGTGACAATCCAGCCAAACTATTCCCGTTTTTTCTTTCCTCAGAAATTAATCGTTAACCCGGAGTAAACCAGCCTTTCTAAGACTTACTGACGGAATGAAACTTGATATGAATGTTTGGGCCGAAATCCATCGGTCGCGACGGAGTAACCTGTTGAAAATTTACGAATATTTAGCGGTTATTCCGCTATGGTTGGTGGATTTTTGTCCAAACATTCAGAATAAATTTTAATATCAGCCCATGAGTCTCAAATAGACTGATTTACTACAGGTTTGGAATATTTTCTAAGGAAATTAAAAATATGCAGTTTTAAAAGAGGAGTATCTACCATAGAAATACATGCAGAACGCTGAAGGATTACTGTTGAACCAAAACACTCTCAACTATGTCATGCAGTGGCGGAATATCGACGAATCAAGTTTCTGAACTTTTAGCTACTACCTTTTATTCAGAAGTGCCTTGGCAGATCTCAAATAATTCATTTTGACCCAACTGTGAAAAATTAGTGTCTCAGTGGGATACGAACCCACGACAGCAAGGGGAGGCTTTAGTACAGCCAACGCTCTAAATTTGGAAATCCTGCTTGGACAGTCAACCTACTGCATCAGATTTGGTGGATCCAGACGTTGCAGTAAGTTGAGCGGGTAACTTGACCCAAACTAGCGTCGTCCGGTAGGGCCTCGTAGCTCAGATGGTTAGACCGATGGCTGTACTAAAGCCTCCCCTTACTGTCGTGGGCTCGAATCCCGCCGAGGGGCCGAGTTTTTCAGAGTTTGGTCAAAGTGATCTACTTGATATGTCAAGTATGATGTATCGTGCTGCCTATGCAGAAACTATTGGCTGCCTGTTGGCAGTTTACGAATATTGCTCAGTGAGAGACTGTTGGGGACGCAAGTTTTCGGGCGGCATATCTCGTAAAACATTAATCAGAGTTCTAAAATTTGATCTCTATCAGAAAGGATTGCTTCGTTGGAATTGTAATGTTCAGTAGCATTCAACACAATCCCACGATACTTCAGTCACGCGAGGATGCCGGCTTTTGAACGCACGTCTTTTCGGTCGCCTGAAGAAATCACATCACCAGCAATTATTATTTAAGCAGGACTAATTTTTCCAATTTAGTTGCGATTACCTTGTAAATCCAAATATATTTTGCAGAAAGCGTGCGTAAAATGGGCGGTCCTACAATCAGTTTGTGGCAATGGACGTATTCTTCAATGTTTATACTGGGAGATATGTGGGTTCCGGTTTCAAATGTCTTTCATCAATTCCCGAATCATGTTAAACACGACCTGCCATTTTACTTGCTTTTAGGATTTCGTAACTACAGAATGTACACTTCCAGAAAAGCTTAGAAGGGTATCATACATAGCTCATACATTTTTAATGCATATGCACTACGAAGCTATTTGAACAGGCGCATGATGATCGTGAAAAATATCATAACTGCAATTTCTAAATTGACAACTGCTGTTTCTGTAAGCAGAAAATTTGAAGACGCCTATTTCTGCAAACGGACTGCAAGAAAGAACATTTTTATGCATACTTTCTGTAAAGGGCATTTTGATTTATAGTCAATGGGAAAAAATTCATTGCCTTCATAGATTTGCTAGCGATGTGACTTATGTAGACGTTTTAAATGGTTTACATTTAAATCCGGCCTGCTGGTGTGACTTAAATATCCTGATACTGCCCGATACTCAATATTAAAATCCTACCTAAGCAGGTATTTCTAAACAACACCACCTTTCGAAATTTCGGCCTCTGTTTTGAAAGATACGTCACCTACGGTGTGCCACCGGCATCGGGCTTTAACATTACTCAAACCTATGTGGGTTTTCGTCTAGTAATTCCGGTGGTAGCGAGTTCAAAGGCATTCCCTTCTAGAATCCGGAAGTTCATTTAGCAAAATCTAAAGCTCGACATGAGGCCAGATTGCATACGCCAACGCTCCCCTTGCTGGATTTTGTGTTTAATTGAGTGCTTTACTACAGTGAACCCAAGTTCGTCCGAATCAAAGATATAGCCTTGCGCGTTTTGCTTAAACTGACAGGATGGCGATACTAACAATGGAATCTTCGTCTGCCTAGAAAAATCGGAAAACAACAAAACCACACAAGTTAAGATAATGGAATAGGAGCCTTCCCCCCCGCTCCGTAATGTGGGTGGCCTTGCGACAAATTACGCAAAGGGAGTCAACTCTTGCACTCGAAGGCTTACGCCAACATCAATTTCATCTCAAACTTTAACCTTAACCTTAAACTTGAACCTTACAGGGGGTTCCTATTCCCGTGTCCCAGCACCCAGCATGGTGTCACTAATGATAGATTCAAAAATGTATGAACTTTTATTCCAACCTCCGTCTCCTCCTCCTCCTCTTCCTCCTCCCCCTCAATTGCTTACTAAAACGCGACCATTTCGCGTGCAGTGACAATGCTAATTTCTTAGACAGATGAAAACAATGCACCAACTCTTTTGCCAATTATGTATACAGGCTAATTTTGTCACCCAACATTTGGCCCAAATGGATGGCTAACCCAATTACCTACTTTCTATTATACTCCTCTTGGTACCTTGGTTTGATGACCAAGGAGGGCTAGTTAAGCAAGGATGACACAGCATTCGGGCTGATTCGGTTGGGGTTAGCAACCAGAAAAGTTTGTTGATGTAGGTCGGGTCAGCCACTGTGTCCGACCGAATTTACGGTTGTCTTGATCTGGTCCCGCTAATGGACTACGAGCGGAACGACAGAAGGCTGATTACACACTATTCTGGATCGTTATAATCCGGCCAACACATTTTCCAATAAATTCGACATCCTAGGGATTCCCTGACACCGGAAATGGCACCTTATTGGACCCCAAGTAAAGCGATTTTGATTGTCTTTCCTCCCAAATAACTGCATGAATTCTAGCGCAGATGGGAAGCGAGACCAGCATTTATGGCGGCCGCTAATGATCAGAGTGAAGAGTCGGTCAGTTATTGAGCTAGACATGCATTCAACTCGCCTGATTTCGCTTTTATCACTTGATTAAGACTGGACTGAAGACTGAGACAACACCAAATTCAACCTAAACTTCAACTTTACTGCTAAATATGACCCTTACAGGGGTTCCCAGTCCCGTGTCCTACCTTATAAGGTCTTGTGGGGCCTTCTCACGATCATACTATACGGCCTTTGAGTAGAAGAACTGGCCAACGCCTTACACACTATGGCCGACAGAAGAGATTCCGTTGATCTTGAGCTGTTTTAAACACATCCACTTACACAAAATCGTCCGAATAGTAGGCTAGGAGAAATGGAAATGCTTTTTTCGTACATCCTAAACGTAGTGATATGTCGTGGCATCGTCTTCTTTCGCTGCGAAGGTAACAGTGCCTTGTACGGTCTTTAGATTAATTATGCGAGCGTTAGGGAAGTCTGTGCTCTTCAAAAAGCCTCTATATGCAAACGCGGATAACATGTTGATTGTCTTATTTGTCTCCTTCCTGACTATTTACTATTTTATAAGCGTGCAGGGAGCTCCAAACACGGTCATTCGTAAGTTGTCCACGCAAAATCTAACAGGCTACTTAAAAAGTAGAAGTAGGTACATTCGCTTTATTGAGTGAATAGTCCCCCCACGACGAAGCATGCGTTGTTTTCTACCCGAATCTCATCGCGATATCTGGTCAGGTTGACTAAATGACTTACTTTTTGCATAACAGACTTCAGACAAGTGAAGTTAATGAAATGCAGTGACCGACCATGAGCCCGATTTCGTCTGTGATTTAAGCTCAGTAGCGCATTAGGTTCATAGAAACTTATACGACGCTCATGAAATTTAAAAAACACAAGCTACGTGAAGCAAAATATGTGCAACATTAGATATCGTCCAAAGTTGTGACTCTATAAAAGAGACAAAAGTAGGCTGGACGATAGTTGAGACCAGGTTTTGCGTTGCTCAGCGTACGCATGATATTGAAAAGCCACCCGACCAATTGTGCAGTTGAAACGTGGTCAGTTCATTCATCGGCCAATCCCGCAATTTGTCTATGACGCGTTACGAGGACACGCCTCTCTAAGAAAGATAGTTTGCTCTCAAATGTGGGTTCAGTGAGGAAGACCTGCGCACCATTCTCATCTTCATCATTTCCACGGTCGGTATTTAGTCTGGTCTTAGTCAAGTGACAAGGGTAAAATCAGGCAAGTTGACTGCATGTCTAGCTCAGTGACAGACCGACAGTTCGCCCTGATCATTAGCGATCGCCATAAGTGCTGGTCTCACTTCCCCTCTGCGCCAAAATTCATGCAGTTAGCTAAGAGGAAAGTCAATCAAAATCGCCTTACTTGGGGCCCGATAAGGTGCAATTTTCGATGCCATGGAATCCCTAGGATGTCAAATTTAATGAAACACGTTTTGGTCGAATTATAGCGATCCAGAATAATGTGGGATCAGCCTTCTGTCGTTCCGTTCGTAGTCCATTGGCGTGACCAGATCAAGACAAGCGTAAATTCGGTCGGACACAGCGACTGACCCGACCTACATCGTCAAAAGTTTCTGGTTGCTAACCCCGACCGAATCAGCCCGAGTGCAGTGTCATCCTTCCTTAGCTAGTCTCCCTTGGTCATCAAACCAAAGTACCAAGGGGAGTATCGTAGAATCGAGTTAATCGGGTTAGCCATCCATTCGGGCCAGATGTCGGGTGACAAAATTAGACTGTATACATTATCACCAACTCAACTAATTGTGCAAAAAATTGGCCGCTATCTCATCACTTACTCTTAATCGATTCAGTTCTACATAAAATCGAATTATGTTCTTTCTGCCACGAAAGACAGTTCAAACGTCTCAGATACTCATCTCGAAAATTTCTCTTTCCGATCAGCATTGGACGATGTCTACACGCATTTGGGAGACCTCATGCTTTCGGGGACGACTCAGTCATTGTATGTATGACTTTCTTTGTCTCATTGACTAATCTGTCGCATAAGCAGCTCTGCGAAAAGGCTCTGTCAGTTTATAGGAGAGTGTTGTTATGAAACGGAAAACAAGGTTATCTATTTGCAATGAGTATTGGAAGCCAGTGATCACCGCACATGTAAGATAGGCAAAACTGAGTCGAGAGACTGATAGTTCGACCGTCGTTACCGCAGCTTTCCATCGTACTGCCCACAGCATGACGGACGCAGGAACGTAAATTTGCACCTGAATTAGTTTGTAACGATGGTAAACTTGCGCTGCATCAACCGCACTGCCTTCTCCCCCACCTGCCTTAGCCCGGTCTCAAGACAGAATCGGAATGACCAGAGGCGAGATCGGGCGCAGTGACTGACAAGACCAAATAGCCCGTTCACATGTGCCACACATGCCCAATCCGCGAAAGATGTGTCACGGTTTCTCAGAAACAAGAAAAGAGCATTTCGTATCCCCAGTGAGTGGGATTGGCATGCAGCCAGATTATTCCCCGTCAGTCGGCAGCCTTCCGAGTCACGGTTTTTAACAAATCGTGATAAATACAAACATGTCATATTGTTTACATCGAAGAAAGTGTACTGAGTGTCATGCGGACAGAGTCCTCAGAGTCGACCGTACCTTTTCGCCCTTCGCCCACGCACCGGTCCACTATCCAAAGTTGTTAGCCATCTGATGCGGGGAGTGGATGCAGTGACTGACAGACGTGAACAGCCCTTCTACGCGTGCCGCACACAACCTGACCCCAGAACAGCACGGGAGGACTCCAAACAGACGTAATGGATGGCTCAGATATCACATGAGTGAGGGGGTCATAGAGACAGTGTTATGGAGAGCGCAGACATGATTACTGAAAAGTTTTTGTGCCTGAATCTCAGTCCACTTCACACAAAATGCGAGGCCTGAGTTGTGTCGGCAGTTGAGTGACCAGAAGACAGGGGACCCATATTTTGGTCAATGCTCTCGTCAACAAAAAGTCCCTGAATTCATCAGTCGCCCGCTGATCGCAATCATAGTTGGTAAAAGGACTTAATCTGGATGTCGACTGGGAAACGTTTTTTGAAATGGCACCCAAATCCAATCTCAGACGACATGATTACCAGCTCAAAAAGGAACTGTGTCACACAAATCAACGTTCCTCCTTTTTCTCACAGAGGGTCATTCGCCAATGGAACTCTTTGCCGGAGTTTGTTGTTAATTCCCCTACCGTGAACGTGTTCAAGAGACAACTGGATACTCACCTGCTGAAAGGCAACCCAAACTGCCGAAGCCTGATCTAACGGATTATTGAAATGACTATAAATATACTACTCACAGGATTTCAACAGATCCTATTTTTGCGTCAAACTTAGCCCATATTGAAATTTTCACAGTCCGAATGTGGTGAACAAAGTTTTTCGCAATTATTTCGCGAATATAATACCCCTTTCACCTTCATGCTACATTATTAGATTTATGAATTCTCCTACTAAAACTGCAAGCAAAAGTTTTGCAATTTAACTATTTTACTTTATACCTGTACCCTCTAAATGGAGTTTTCATGGCTTCTGTTGTTTACTCCAAATATACTGACTGATACTGACTGATAGTCCGCGTTGGCCTCATAAGTCGTCATAACTTATCAATTAAAACTTTAAAACATACCTCCAAATAGAGGCCGTTACGTTACGCTGCTCGTCCATAACGTGAACTAACCTCGTATGTTGCAGTATGCTGTCTGTTGGTTGTGAAAGTTCCCAATTGGGTGTCTTGTGAACGCCTATGAAATTCGGATGCTTAAGTAGTGTATGTCTCAGAGTTAGTTCCGGCGCTTCTACTAAGGCACGCTCTGCTCTAAGTAAAAACTGGTAGAAGCTTATTCTGTATACTTCATTTGTAGAAGACTGTGAATACCTGAACGTCAATGTTTACGTTTTTAAATATAAACGCCGTTACTATGGTTTCTTAATCTTTTGAAACTACCTAATTTCCACGTCTCCTTCTAACGCCTAGTTACTGTTTAACATCAGAATACGAATGAGGCAGTTAGCATGTTTGTTCAACAATCTTACGAAACCCCAGACCTCCGGACTGTGTGCGTATTTGAGCGGACGTCTCATGAAGCTCTTGAAACGAAATGGCCCCCCCTTTTCAACTACCACATGTCGACCACGGAAACCGGGTTTTTGTGTGTTAATGTTGGAGACTGGGATTATGTTAAGATCAATTTAGAAAATTAGTCGAAGCATGTGTATTGGTGAATGCTTTTTAAGGAGATAAACGCAAGGGACTCAAATGTTTCCCAATAGAGGGTCAGCCTAGCATGACGGATGAATCCACTCCGAATTACGTCCCATGCCTATCAGCTCGTAATTCCACTTTAGCAAGCCCTTCTGTCTCAAACACTAATCAAGTTGTCGACGTTTCTGGAGTCTCGGTGAACGCTGTGTGTCCACGGTATTTGTTGCGCAATTGCTTCCGCAATGCGAAACGTCGTCTCTCCTGGGGTCTGGAACTGTAGAATTATGGAGGGCCGAATCATCCTGCGACTTCATGGCATAAATTCCAGACCTGACATGTGGATAGCAGTAGAAGTTATCTATAACTTCAGACGGCGGAGTAGTTGACTGCTTGGCTACCTGAGGAGTTACAGGCCCTATTTTACCACATTTGATTAGCCATAGTTTATGGCTTCAATTTGAGATGCCTTGCAGTCTTTAGAGCTGTAGAAGAAGCAGATACAACTTTTTTAAAGTGCTATTTAACTGAACTCCTCAGAACTCCCTCAAACTCTCTTGCCTCTAATAGAAAACGCTACACATTTTATTCGAGAAGGGAAAAGGTGGTATAGACGTGTCAAGGCCGTCCGTACTAGATTCCAGAGGAAAAAAAGGATTGCTTACCAAGGCCTTTGTCAAAGTTGTCCAATTCACTGTTTTTTCGATCAGGCGTCGGTCGTATCCAGACCTACTTCACATATTTTAATGGTCTCTTTTAATAGCTGACAACCAGCCAATCGGCGAGGTGCACATTGGCGCTAACAGTCCCATGGACCAATCAGCTTCATAGCGTGCCGGCGCGCTTCTGGGTGTGTCGAGGCCAGAGAGCAATAGCCTCCACAATGAGCAGAAAAGAGAGCCAGACCCCACCACCTCTCTAACACCGGCGCCTCTTCTGGCTTATTGTCCTCGTCACAGGGTGTGTGTGTGTGCGTGTGTGCCTCACAGCGATGTCGACGACAGGGACAGCGACGACAAGGACGACGACGACGACGACGACAACAAGCACCTTCAAAGGGGCGCCACAGGCATTCACCTTGGCGTCGACCAGGGGCAGCTGGTGACGACGATTGCTGCTGCCAGATCGTACGCAAGTGCTCGCGTGCTGGTGAAGCGGACACGGCGGCGGCGCCAGGTCGAGCAGCCGGCGGTCTGGCGCCGGGGTGAAACTGGCGCTTTGGATTCCACTACCTGGCGTCAATTCACTTATGCGTCCACAATCCTCTCCTCAACATACGCCCTGGCGTCAAGGCAGGTCTCTGGGTTCATGAGGAGTTAAGTCATACTGTGGCGTCTATTGCGCACGCCTCACGCGCCCCGTCGAAATGCACAGCGGCACCCAACAGCCGGTGGCCACCCCGCATGTGAGAGACTGTGAGGGGGGGACAGCATTCACGACTAACTTTGGCGTGGGTAAAAGGGGGTGAGGGGGGGGCGGGTGAGATGGTGACAGAGTGGAGTTGCAGAGAGAGACAGAGCGAGAGGAATGGCACTGCGCAACCCATATGACATGATTACATCCCCCATTTCTACTTCCTCTAGTTCATTCTCGTTTTCTCTCTAACGCGTGTACAGTTCTGTTTTCAGGCAAGTCCTGAACGGCTGGCGAGTATGCATGCACATGCGCACACAGACACGCCTTTGTGTTTAGGTGCTTACCAGGACAAACTGCCAACAGGTCAGTAGGCCCTTCTAACATGCGTCCCCCATGGGATAGATCAGAGAGGACATCAGTCCTGCGTTGTAGGTGTGAGATCATCTAGGTGACTCTATGCGCAATCTGAACCATTAAAGTGGCATGAAGACCCTCGAGCCTACCGACTTCGTTGAGACACTTGATTATTCCTGTTATATTGATGCTTATGTCGGTATTGTAAGGCTAAATACAATACTGCCTCTGAAGCCAGAGAGGGACACCAATCATTTGCCCTTATTATTAGTCCGCTCGGGTGCTTTTCCGATCATCTGTCAAGGACAGAATATTACCGCCAATCAAACCGGTAGAGGGGGCGTCAAAATCTGCTGCCGTTACTTCATCTTTGGTTTTTGTCTGCAAGATGTCCATATAATGCTGTGGCACATCTAATCAGGTCAGAAATAGACTGCTGTTTCAGTTGTAAACAATACCCATCAGAGCGCTTTCTGCTGAATGTTATTCCCTGGGAGAGGATGACTGCCTTCTGATCCGCATGCGCGCAAAGTCATTAGATTCAGCTAGGTGTTTGTGGGTTTCGCCGTTTAAAAACTCGTCTCGCAAATGAGCAGATAAGTTGGACACCGCCCGGGGACAATAGGGCTGATTCATTAAAACATTGACTAAGTTGAAAAAGACCCCTTCAAGCTGTTAAAAGCAAATAGTCAACATTATTTCGTTCGGCATACAAAGTATGTTAAATTATGTTCGGACGCTCGGGTCTTATTTCGTAGTTGTACCTGCCGTAGACAAGCCCCAGCCTAACCCCTAACTCCAACACCTAACCTCTGACCGGTATGGCTACGAAACAGGATCTTGCTCAACGGACATTTAGAAAGGCAGTTAATGTTTCACTTCGTAAAGCCATAATACTGCACAAAGTGGTCCTGTCGCTTGAAAACCAAAAGACATGTCGCTGCAAATCAACCTTACTTCCGGAGACATCGTGTTGAACATGAGTATAAGATGGATGGCTTAAGCGAAACGTCCATTTTATCATAAGCACCTTCGAACCGCCTGGTACTGTTGCATCAAACGAAAAATAGGGCCAACGCGCTGTAGTCAGAGTAGTTCCGGTTAGGTATCTGGTTCTGCCCAGGGACCATCGCTGGTTGGATGTGCAAGAGATGGGCTGAATTGTCCGGTGCATCCGTGTGCGTAAATGTGTGTCCAGCCAACTCAATTCAATCATGCATCTGGAACTCAGTGGCACTGGAAGGAAGGAGACTGAGTTTGAGCGGTCCTGCTTCTCTATCTGCAGACTAACGCGTATTTTAATTACCAGAATGTCCTAACTAACAGGATATCTCGACCTAGGAGGTCAAGATTCGGACTACTGTGACTCCTTTTCAAAATGTCGACTCTTGCGACTTGCGATCCAGGGTCCGATGTATATCGACGGCACACAGAGAAGCGACTTTGGTAATAAGGACCGCTGCGTTCACGTCCATTGTCAGTTGCCCTGGCCGAGCCAGTGTAACATGATGCGTGCAGGAACAGAAAGAGGGCTCAGTGCTTTGTGAACCCCCCTCTCCTGCCACAACTCAATTCGCACAGACGTGACTACTTTTCCTCTGGTTAGTAGTGTTGGTTGTCTTGATTGGCGGGAAACTGCCGGCGTCATCTAATATGAGTAGAAATTCCTAGGCGATAAATTTGTCACGCTTTTTGGTATTTAATCGGCCTCATTATCTTCTCTTCAACTGGCCTCCTCGCATTTTCTCGGTTTTAGATGAGTAGTGCATCGTAATAGGACAGACATTGGGTCTGTCTCTGATGATGGATTCGAGTGAGAATCCGAACCGTCAGGCCAATAAATTTCTTGTTCCAGTGATCGCATCTTCGTCTTCAGGACAGACATTACTGGAACATAACTGTATGCCTTAGAAATCATATTGTTGGTCAAAACCATAGGCTGGCCCATAGGATTCCTTAGTTGGCCGTCCAGAATAATCCATACAATCAGACGTACAGTAAAGTTTAACGCCCTTTGTCCATTTTCAAGGACAACGCTTTTTAAAAATAGGAATTCTTTAAATTGTCGCTTTGTGCACTCTTTTCGCTTCTGTTCAAGCAAAGCTATCGTACGGCTGCACACTGAACGCGGTCCTGTGGTTTTGCAAGGCAGATCATAGATTCTAATTTCTGGATATCTGTGGGTGTGTTCTGTAAGCTATGAAACCTACTTTGTTTACGCAGACGGACAGACTTGACCTCCAGTTTCCAACGGCTCCTCACCATCCAGTCGGTCTGTTTACAGATGTCTGATGTCGTTGTAGGTCAAATACTGGAAACTGAACCGACAGCCTTGGCGTTAGACAGACCCACATGCAAAATGAGTCCAACTTCCCTGTCACTCAGCGGATGGGCTTGGAAGGTGTCAGATCGTTCGTGATGCTCGATTAAAAAATCACATCCGGGCATGCTCCATGGCAGCGATCATGACTTGTGCGCGACATGAATCACTGTTTGGTAAACTTACTAGTTTCAAACTCAATCGATCCTGGGGGGCTCGTCGTTACAACTACGTATAGGGGACGGGGGGATATGCGGATGCAATGGCCGTCAATTTCGTTCGTCTCTCATAAGCCACGCACAAACCTAGCTTCCCGCACCCCTTCCCATCAGAAAAAACTAGGGAGGTTCCCACGCATCCTGTTCTCATTCTGCGAACCCAGTTAGCTACAGATGCTACAGCTGACGAATATGTGTTCACTCTCTCCTCACCCTCTGTTAACCAATCGCAAGTAATGAATTACGTGAGCCTGGTGGTATTCTAGTGAATTCCAGGTGAATTACTTAGGAAATCCTGCTTGGGCAGTCAACTTACTGTATCAAATTTGGTGGATTCCTGACGTTGCAGTAGGTTGGGCAGGTAATTTGGCTCAAATTTTAATTAACTCGCGTCGTCCGGCGGGGCCTCGTAGCTCAAGTGGTTAAAGCGTGGGCTGTACTAAAGCCTTCCCTTGACTGCGTGGATTCGAATCCCACCGAGGCGCCGAGTTTCCAACTGTTGGGCCATTATGAAAATGTCTTTCAGCACCTTAAATAAACGCGAATGTGACCTGGATTTTAAGGGCAAATTAGAAACCTTAAGAGGTGCAGAACCAGTGGTATTTCATCAATTAATAATGGCTAACGCGTTGTACAACATCGGTGAAGCAGCTGTCGCTGAGATCTCGTTGGCAGCCGGTTTTTAAGCTCAAAAAAGAAATATCCAACTCGATATCCCCCCCCCCTCCTGCCTTGCCTTGTTCTGAATTCGATTTCTGATGGGATGCATAGGCTTACTGCAATTTATATGCCATGGGCTTACCCCTCTGGCCGTCAGTTACCATGTTCTGCCTCAGGGCGAGAACCGGTGGCTTGAAAAGTCTTTATCGCAGTCCTGATTCATCAAACTGCCAAGAGATCGCTGTCCTGACAACTGTGCCCTGCACTCAAAGTCAATTCTCAGTTTGATTACGTCCACCAGAACTGCGGTGCTTTTGCGTTCTAAGTCCCACGCGACTCAAGAAGGCCTCAGTGGACTCCTACAAGTTACCAAACACTTTACTGGGGGTAACATATATTTACTTTTTCCTATACCTCCAGAGGGAAGGCCAATAATGTTTGTTAGGCATTTTTAAATAGGAGTGTTTAGTAGACAACTGATTAAAATTTAAATGCAAATATATCCACTTTTTGGAATATCTGACTGGAACCTACGTGCCGTTATCGCACACCGAGGAAAGGACTTATACAGTAGATGTGCTAACTCATGGAATGTCAACCAAAATATCGAAACGCGTTCTCGCTTCGAAAAGATAAATTAAGTAGTGTTGTAAAACTGATCATGATACAGCATAAATCTATAATGATCCAGTTACCTCAGGGTGTCGACTTTCGAAAGAACTTATTTTCGGCTGCATGCAAGATCTATACTCTGCAAAAAAATGACTACTTACGTAGTATGCCATTTTCTCATTGATTTTCGATGCCCTTGAAAATTCAATTATATTTCATGGAAAACATGCATAAAAATATTTATTCTTTTAATTATTCGGTAGAAAATCACGTCTTCTCCCAATTTTATTTTCGAAAGAAGGGTATAATTCGGTTTCAAAAAAGTTTCTAATTGTGAGATTTTTTAATACCGTTAAATGGCCGTTCATGAAACGTCATCTGTCTGCATTTACGAATGTTGCTTATAAAGTTAACAATATTGCTCAAATCCACTGCTTAATTTGATGAAATTCATATGGTCTCCTCTTAACACCGTAGAGAAATGCATGGTTTTCCGTACACGGAAAATAAACAGCTTGTAGTTTTGAAACCCTGAATGCAAGTGTAACAGCCGGTCGGGTTCAACATTATTCGGGAATTAGAAAAGTTTTTTTTTAAACCGAATTATACTCTTCTTTTGAGTATAAAATTGAAAGAAGACGTGATTTTCTAACGAATAAGTAAAAGAATGAATATTTTTATGCATGTTTTCCATGAAATAAAATTGAATTTTCAAGGACATCGAAAATCAATGAGAAAATGGCATACTACGTAAGTAGTCATTTTTTGCAGAGTATAGATCTTGCATGCAGCCGAAAATAAGTTCTTTCGAAAGTCGACACCCTGAGGTAACTGAATCATTATAGATTTATGCTGCATCATGATTAGTTTTACAACACTACTTAATTTATCTTTTCGAAACGAGAACGCATTTCGAAATTTTGGTTGACGTTTCATGAGTTAGCACATCTACTGTAGGTCATTAGGAGAGACTGCAATCGTCTCCACGTCAACATGTGTAACTGCTACGCAACTCGATTACAACTAACTGCATTGACGACGGTTAGCAGAGGATTCAAACCATCCGGCCCCTGGATTCTTTCCTATCTACCTCATCTTCGATGGACATGTGAAGTATGTCAGATCGAATTACTTTGACTGCTCTGCTTTTCGGGGCTTCCGCAGTGCGTCCTTGAATTGCTGGCCGCTTCCCAAAAACTTACTCAAAAGTATTACTTCCTCTACATTTTCCTGTCCCCTAACTTGAACCTCTGCTAGACATTACCAGAGCGCTTAAGTGGCTTACAAAAGTACTTGTAGGAAGGAGTTCCGAAAAGGACGAGAGAGACTAGATTGACCATTGCTGACTTATCAGCCTCGGGCTTGGGTGACCTGGGATCTTTGATCACTAAACGTTTAAGTCCGACTCTCTACCATGGAAGCAGGGGTCTGTTGTTTCGTCGGTTGCGGTCGGAGATACAAAATGCAGTAGATGCGATAACTAACGAAATGTTAACCGAAATTCCGAAATGCGTTTTCGACTTGAAAAGATTACTTAACTGGGGCTCCTATATTAATTACCGTGAAGAACAACCCCAAGATATTTAAATTACTTCCGGATGCCGATTCTAGAACAATTTTATTTCCGATTGCCTGCAAAATCTAAACTCTGTAAAAATGGCTACTTAAATAGTATGAGTTTTTCTGACTGATTCTCGATGCTCATATAAATTTAAATATATTTCATAAAAAATAGGCATCAAAATAGACAATCTTTTGCTCAGTTGGTAGAAAACTACGTCTTGTTTAAACCTAATACTTGAGGAAAGATTATGATTCCATTCCAGACAAATGTCTAAATATGAGGTTTTTAAGCCTATGAAATGTCCTTTCATAAGACATCGTGTCGCTGCATTAACTAATGTTGCTTGTAGGGTTTGCAATATGGTTCGGACCCACTGTTAAACTTTATGAACCCAATATGCGCTCCTCTTAGTAGGTTATAGAAATGTACGATTTTACGCACACTGAAAATTCACAGTTTATAGTTTAGAAACCCTGACTGCAAGTGTAACTGCAGGTCGGGTTCAGAACTATTCAGAAATTAGAAATGTTTTTTGAAACCGAATTACAATCTTTATTCAAGTGTAAAATTTGAAGAAGTCGTACTTTTCTACCAAACGAGTAAAAGAATGGATATTTTTATGCATGTTTTCTACGTAATGTATTTGAATTTATATGAGCATCAAAACTCGGGGAGAAAATTTTAGAATATTTGAGTTTCCCTTCTTTACAGAGTGTAGTTTTCACAGGCGCCCCGAAAGAAGTTTGGTCTAAAGCCGACATCCCGGAGTAACTGAAATATATTGGGATTACGCTGCACGGCAGTTAAAATTGCAACCCTACTTATGTAATATTTTTGAGTCGAAAACGCATTTCGGAATGTCGGTTAATATTTCGTGAGTTAGCACATCTACTGTAGTTGTTCTTAACGTGGCTTTTAAGGTTGTTTGTCCAAGACTCGCGTTAAAACTGTCTCTTGAGTAATTTTGAAGAAAACAAAACGCGACATCTCCCTCTCACCGCAACTCAGTATACGCAGTGATATTCAGGAGATAGTGTTTTTAGATGCAAACATCTTCGCATGAACCAAAGTGCTCTTCTGGATGTCGACAGTTTGGAACGCACAAAATAATAAACCCTTACATCTTGATTCCTTCAAGTCATAGCAAAAATTGTTTGAAAATTTTTAAACTCTAACAATGATGAGAAATACGCAACTTGCGCACAAGAAAGGCTGTCGCTGACAGGGGTAGCAGGCACTTTGATACGGTCACAGCCGGCTGAATTTTGGCGCCGTTGGTGAAGCAAGTCATTACACAGGGCGAAAATGTTCCCGTTTCCACCCAACGCCTAGCTCTGCGCCAAGCCGCGCATTCGTATTCCATCGGCCGAGCTTGGGAGTGTTTGTGCTACAGGTAAGGTGCACAGAGTGGACCTGGTTGCAGGACGGGACACGTTAGAAACGGTTGGGTCCGGCGCCCCAAAGCCAGGACCTCAAACGCGCCAGCGCGATGAACATGAGCTTAAAGACGCCGGCAAGGTGACCCTCAGGTTGTCCAACAACCAGACTAGATTACTTCGAATTTACCAGATTGGACGCGTGTGAAGCTGCTCTATCGCTCTAGGAGTTGCCAGCTGACGCGGCGCTTAGTTCCCTTTCGATCAATGTGGCCTTTGTAGTACCTCTCCCATACGCCAAGTCCATGATCGCATCTTCCTGGTTCGTATGGAGTCAATGACTAGACCATGTAGTGCGAGTAGTGGTTTTTTACCTCTTTTGGTTCATGCCCATCATTAGTCATCGTGAATTTATCTTGTCATTTGTATATGGTGGATAGGGGAGAGACAGAGAGAATGAGATAGACACAGTGCAAGTCCGATTCTCCGTCACCACCCCCGTGCGCACTTTACGACTCTTGAATCCGATTAGTTTTCGAAAAGGCGGCAGTCGGTGCTCTAAGCCTACGGACTGCTGTCAGGCAGATGAGTCTTTTTGTGACCACTTTGCCTTCAGCAGAAAATATTTAGCTCTGGAAACGGCTCAGAACTAGGACAAAACTGAAGGCCTCCGATTTCTGCGCAGTATCACTTTAGCCCCCCACCCTTCCCCTTTCGACCCCGCTCCTGCCCACCACGAACTAGATGACTGCGGTCTAGGGCTGGCACTCAAGACTGGCGAGTCTATTCCCCCTTCGTGCGCCGCAAATATATGCTCTTATCTTATCTATCTGAGCGGTAGGTTTGGAACTCACTTGAGTGCATTAGTAGGCAGCCCTCTGCCTCGACAGGTTGACTGATTCGGAGCAAACAGGCAGCTGTCAATTCGTTTTCAGCTTCTCTTCAGTACTAATGACTCCAACCACTGGCTGAGTACATTTTTTGCAAAAACGACAACGATCTGAGTCCGTGGGGGGAGAAAGAAACGCTGGCTGAGAACGGAGGATGGGAGAGATAAATTTCGGGCAAAAAAACAGAATCCCGAAGGATAGCAAGCTAATGGAATTTTGTATTCCGCCTAGTCTCCCCATGCCACATTGAATCTCTTGGAAAAGCCTGCTTCAGAGTTTCTTATCCCCGCACAAGTATAAAACTATCTGTAGGAAAATTACGAAGAAGATAAGGTTTAAATGGAAGTATGCAATAATCGAGGCATTTTTGAGGAGGGGATAATTGTTTTTGTTCATACAAGTCGCCGTGTTGTCCACTTTCTCCGCACAATATCTCAGGACAGTTTTTCCATCCCACACCTACTCACAAATATTGTGCTCAGAGGAGGGTTAGAAAGCCAACAGCACCAACCGTTAGCATAGATTGCCAGCTGCTTTGTGTGCTTTTGTGCAGAAATAAAACCCATTACAACGACCTTTCCAGGAAGGTAACCTCTCAGATTCTGACCCAATTATTTTGACGTAGTTTGCTATTTTAGCTGAACAAGATGCCTTGTTTCGCTGGGCTCCCTATTCAGAGTAGATGTGCTATTACATGAAATGTTGATCGAAATTCTGAAATGCGTTCTCGATTTTAAAAGACTACTTTAGTAGAACTGCAATATTAATTGTCGCGCAGAATAATCCCAAGGTATTTAAGCCGTCTGCAAAAATTATAGATTGTAAAAAATGACTACTGAATAAGTAGGATTTTTTCCACTAATATTAAAAAATGGGAGAAAAGTATTCAGCAATTGAAAAATTTTCTAAAACCGGAAGACACCTTTTCTTCCCGCATAAAATTTACGGATGTAATTTGTTATCAAATGAGCACAAAAGAGAATAGTTTTGTACATATTTTCTATCTGACATATCTGGATCTATAAGGGCATCAGAAATCAGTTGGAAAAATTTATACCATTTAACCATTCATTTTTAAAGAGTGTAGTTTTTTCAGACGGCCGAAGAGCGTTCCTGAAAAACCGGCATCCTGATGTGGCTGAAATATCTTAAGATTTGGCTGTATGATAACTAAGTTTACCCCCCACTTAAGTAATATTTTCAAATCAAAACATATTTCCGGATTTCAGTTGACATTTTACGCGATAAGACATCTACTGTACGTCCACTTTCAATCAAATACACTAAACCGAAATGACCAGTTGGGCAATATGAAATTTATTGTTACGAACGCCTAGCATTTCGCATTTAACATTTATATAAAAAATCTCTTGCCAGCGGTTTCAGATATCAGTTCGGAAAAGGCGTGTTTCGTGAAGCAACTGACGAAGTGTTTTTTCGATAAGGGTTTAATGAGTCAGGAAGCGTATTGTAGGGTCCAGCGCTTGCTCTAAACACAATCGCCTGGCCTGCAAAAACGCGAATACTCAGACGTAGTTGAAATTGACGGGCAAAATGTTCAACCTGGTGTCAGAATCCTTTTTAGTCCTCCATATATTTAAATACCTGGACGGGGAGCACGATGCGCGAATTCGATAGTTTTTGTTCAGACTCCACTGGGTCCATTGAATGGCGCTTGGAAGGAACTGTATCCCCCCTCCCCCCAAAAAACCTTTAGCCCAATCACCAGACCGGGAGCAGTCATAATTTTGACTGCATTTTCGCAACGGGGTCCGGGTGTGCCTCAGCATAGGCGGCCGCGGAAGCGACATTCCAAATTGCGTGGGCAGCAATCAAACATAGTTGGACGATCAGTCAGCCGGCACCCGGGGCCTACTTTTGTTTTGCGTCCACAAGCGTCTTAAATTCGAGTTTATAGCCGTGTTAGATGTATCAGGTCAGCGGCAGATGAGGGGGAGGGGGCAGGCTGTCCAAAGTGCCGATTAGAAAGCAACCTCACGAGTTGACGGCGGGAGGCTTACATTCATCGGCGCCACCTTCACCGACGCATTGTTGTGTCCGTAGATGAATGATCGACGATAATGACCGTGATCTTAAATTATCGACAAACACTTCATAGGCGCATCGTCTTTTTACCGTCAGAACTTCCGCTTTGTGGATTGTACTTATTAGACCACCAAACATTAGGCCTCTGTAGATCGCAGTTGCGGAGGGAACCGAAGGTTGTGTAATCATTTACTGTACTGGCAATGCAGGTGCTAGCTAAACGCCCAGACAGGCGCGTCTCGCCTATCCTCTGCTGCCTGGGCAGCCGCGAGAGATTCGGCTTATCGATGGGTCCCCCAGCCTTCTCAGCGTGTTTTCTCATACATGAACTCCATTTTCACCTTGTCTTTCTAAATTTCCGGAGAAATTAATTCGTAAACTTTGAGTAAATCCATTGGAACAGACCTTTTCAGTCACAGTCCGAAATTTGATATGAATATTTGGGCTGAAATTCACCAGCCACTGCGGAATAACTGCGTAATATTCACAAACCGCTAACAGGCAGCGGAGTAATTATTTATTTATCGTACTGACAACACAAGCTAGCTAACTTGAATGAACAGCATGACATTCATTGCAACGAACGCTTGGCACTTCGCACGAGCTTGTGATATTTTTGTAAAAATTTCCCGCCACCAGTTTCAGATGTCAGTTCAGAAAACGCGTGTTTCGTGAAGCAACTGACTGAGTGTTCTTCTAACTGAAAGCTAGTACCTGTGTTGTCAGTACGGTAAATAATTACTCACTTGTATACTACGGGCTGCCTGTTGGCGGTTTGTCAATATTACGCAATTATTCCGCAATGACTGATGGATTTCAGCTCAAATATTCATATAAAATTTCGGACCGTGCCTAAAAAGGTCTGTTCCGAGGGATTTACTCCAACTTTGCGAATTAATTTCCTCGGAAATTCACCAAGGCAGAACAGGAGGTTCACATTGCGCCCTCCATGCAGGACAGATTTATGCACGAGAATTTAAATAGCTGTTTATCCGAAATGAGCTTTCATTTCAACCTTCAAAATAAATGTAATCCGTTATTTGCTTGCTGTATTCTCATAAGTTTATTTCTTTTTAAATATTTTCTGACTAACCGTGGTCTTTTTGATGCAATACCACTGCTCTGGGTTCGAATCCTTCTCGGTTCCTAAACACTGAATCGCGAGAGGTTGAGTCCTGTATTTGTCATCGATGGCATGGGCGAAGAGGGCGTGAAATCGACGCTGAGAAATACATCCCCCATGACATGTCAGAGCATTTCCCACTAAAATAAATTTGACGCAACTGGATCTATCGCGACGCGTTATCGATCGTAATTTGAGAGTTTGTCAACTGAAGGCACAACTGGGTCTTCACGGAAGTATTTCGGAGTGGTCGGCGGACTGACAAGTTCTGATAGCGGCCTATTTGGCACTTTCATGCACGTGAGATCCGGGTCGTCCTCACAGACGACTAGTAAATGTCGAGTACCAGGTCGTGTGTGTGGCACGCGTAGAAGAATGTTCCGCGTTCTCATCCATTGCGCCCTAGCCCGCCTCCGGAGCTATGTAAACAAGTCAAGACAGAGTGCAGTAGATGATGCGTGAGTCCACTTCACTATGAACTAATTTAGGCGCAAGTTATCAATGGTGCGTCCACTCTGTAGGACACGCGGTGGATATCGTCGCCTGAGACGATGGTACTGGTGGCCCATTGTCTGACGTTTTTTTTTGTTTGCAGCTTTCCTTCTAATTCACAATTACTTTCGTTATAGACTGCCTTGGAATGCAGTAGGTTCCATCTTTTAATTAACCCATCATTCAGACTCTTTAGTCTTTTCTTGCAGCCGTCATTAGCTCATTTACCGCTGCTGTCAAACCTTGCTGTACATTGGTTAATAGAACATTTCGGCTGTTTATATTTTTATTATTCAAGCCCTCGAAATTTGAAAACCGAGGGTTGAACTAGTCCACTAACGGTTTTTGCCACCTAGCGCTGTTCCTGTGCGTAAAAGCCGACTTTTCAATTTGATCTCCTAAAACCTTTCGGCTGGTAGTTCGATCTGAAAGCGCAATCACATTCAACCCCTATATGCCGCAGATATTTCAAATCAGCTAGCGTCCAGTGGTTAGGGCATTAATTCTTCCACTAAGCCACTCAGAGAAGTGCGCTCTTGCCAACAATTTTGTGAGTTTGTTCTATCTAGGAAGCCATGGAAATCTTGATCAAAGTGCACGCTACGGTGTTGGGCTGCCAGCTCTTTTCACAGACTGAGCAAATTAACTGTCTGACATACGAACACGTTGAAGGACTTTTAACGACTGCAGAAGTAAGGACAGGGCAGGACAGGCCTGAGTCAAACACGGAAATATGGAGCCCTCTACTATAAGTGGCTTTACACTGCATTCCAAGGGGGTGCCTATTCCCGTGTCCTAATTTTGACCCTAACAATAATCCACACGATCCTAAGCATAATCCTGATCCTTCTAACCATAACCCTAGCACCGAGATTAGCCCCAACAGACCCCTAGAATTTACCTCCCATAATACTGGGGTCCATTTTCTAGTGCTCCATCGTCTCCTGGACGTAACAAAGGGCAGCAGGAGCATAAAAGGCGTTATGTGAACAGATAAGACAAAATTCTGAATCTTTTTCTCCTGACTGACATAACGTTTCCGCAAAATTACTTAACTTCTGCTCAGTTTTCCTCATCTCCTTTCGGAGTCAACGATCATTGTCAGCGGCAAGAATATCGAAGTCACTATGTGAACAGAGACTGGGTGTAAATTGTTTTGCCAAAGTTTCGAATCTTTGGGAATACACAGAGGCTGGCGTATTTCACGGGTATCGAAAATACGTAGTTGACGCCAATATTAGACATTCGGCAGATCTCCAAGGATCATGTATCCCCTGACAGGCCTGAACCGATTAGACGAGCGCGATCAATAATCAGGCAAGAAGAACCTTCCAGCAGGATGCGTCAATAAATCAATTCCTTATGACTGCATATCGCCTCGATATTTGATCTGCACAGGAACTACCCCAAGCCCGGCTGAGACTTTCGCCGACTTGCAGTAGCTGGCCTATCTGATGAAATAGGATGGGATTACTCAAGTAGGGTTACAATACTGATTACCATGCAGCATATTCCCAGTCTATTTCAGTTACACCAGGAGGCCAGTTTTTCCCAGCCGCATTTAAAAACCGCACTCGGCAAAAATGCCCTTTTAAGCAGTATGAATTCTCTCCACTTATTTTCGATGTCATTATAAAGTCATGTATATTTCATAGGAAGCATGTAAAAAATATTCTTTCAAGTATACGTTTGGTAGAACATGGCGTCTTCTTTGAGCGTTCTACTTAAAGAAAGGGTATCGTTCGTTTGAGGACAGTCGCATATTTTTCTGTGTTCTTAAAATTTCGCAATGGACGCCGCCCATGTTGCGTTCCTCATAAGCAGCATTAATAAACAGGCAGATACGACGCAGTATGAGTGGACACTCCACGGTCTCAAAAATTTTTAATAACCACTTTTTTAATCCGAAAAACACCTTGTTCTCAAATACGAAAGTTGAATAAGATGTCATTTGTCATCAAAGGAGCACAAAAAATATTTTTGGTCATTTTTTCCATAAAATACATTTAAATATATGGGGGCATCGAAAATCAAAGAGAAACTTTCATGCTACTTAAGCAGTCCTGTGCCGATCGTGGCTTTCGCATGCGGAAAATATGGGCCCATTTAAAAGTCGTCATCAAGGCGTGACTGAGCTAACTCGGGAATATGCTGCACAATAATCAGTAGTCTTTTATAATCAAAAACACATTTCAGAATTCCGATATAAATTTCGTGAATTTGGTCAGCTACTGTAATGCAGCCGTGCATTGCGACCTCGCCAAGTCCATTTAATTTTGCAGCCAAGGCTATACGGGTGGTCGTATGGCGACTAGTTCAATCACCCAAGCATTTTATCAACAGAGATGGCGACACCGAACGCCATTTCTGGTCTGTGTACGTCATTGGTCAAATAAATGTCCATTTTCGCCCCCTACACAGAATAGAACTTTGCACGCCTCCTCTGTGTGATTTCATATTCCAGGTGGCCTAAATTAGGACTGTAGCTCACCTGGGAGTGTGGTGTTCTATAATCGGGCGACTCGGGTTCGGAAATCTGCCGTGCCGCTTGGGGCTTTAGTATTACCAACCGTGGACTGCAAATATAACAGAAGTGGTCATTCCGGGGTCCTGTCTTTGCCGAAAAACTTCTCCAAATATAGATCAGGGGGGGTTTCATCGATGCCCCAACATGTGGCTCAGTCCTGGCTCACTCATTGTGTCATTTATAATAAAACGACCTTCTGTTTTATCCTCCACACCCACTCTTACTCCCAATTAACGCTCTCTGATGGAAAAACAAAATCGATGCGATCGGAGGTTAGATTGGGTGTGGTGGCTGATAGAGCTAAACGTCCCGGCTACTAGTGTTACGCATGACCTAGACTTCATTCCGAGCAGGAATCCCGCAAAGCACGCAGTCGACAATGCAGTGAAGACTACGTGGTGGTGTCACTGTGGCCGGACCCTCAGTCCTGGGTTGGACAGACTTATCCCAACAGTCGGCACGGTAGAGGGGCTCTCACCGATCGCGTTACGGAACTCACTCGTTTCGTTCCGCCTTGGGACCCTCTCTCGAGCCCGCCAGCAGCCGCATAGCGACGCGTAATATGAGCAGAGTGCTATTGCCGACAAAGACAAGGTGGACTTGAGTAGCGGTTTCTAACTTATCAGCCCTCGTCAGTCAGCCATACTTGACTTCGAGGTGCGCGGCACTTGAGGCCACCTGTTGGTTGGAATTTTATTGCCCTAACTACTGAGTCATGGACTCATTGTCCTGTCGGTTGCGATCGGAAATGGCTGGCTGACGATGGCTAATAAGCCAGAAATGACCACTTCAATCTCCCTTGTCTTCGTCAGTGATGTACTTCAGGGCATGGCCGTGGGCGCGTCACGATAGGTTAAACGCACACCTGGTTAATTGTAGTGTGGGAGTAAGTTCTGGATCAGGATCGGATTTACCTCACCTTCCTTTCTCTGACTGCTAACCCAGTGGCTTGTCCAATTCAAGTCAAGGACATAAATTCTCCGTCTGACACGTGATCCAAAGAGGCTCGGATCTCACAGAAGTGGAGGATGCCACTGAGGCCACATTAAGGAGAAATCATTGCAGATGGCCTTTTGTTCCTAGGGCTGAACGAGGTATCCTGTCAGTTGCAACATTCCCAGCGATGAATTTTTGTTCATCGTGATGTTTTCAAGAGCGTTGGACTTACTATGGTGGAGAATGCGCTGATTTCCTATGAGAAAAGCCCTCTGCCCCACCTATGGCCTGTAGTCTGTCTGATTCTGAAATTGGTGGCTGGCGTGGTGTACAGACTCCGCTCGTCGCCTGTCAAGTGCGCATGCCGACTGCATGTCGATATAGCAGTTCACACGTTATTATAGGTGCCGACAAACACCATTGAATAGCACGCGTGTACATGATGGGCGGCCCAACTGCTTGCACACACGATCGTAAGGGTCCCCATGTTGGCTAAATGTCTTCGGGCTGTGCCTGAAAATGTGGCTACAATTATTCTCCGATGGATTCGTGATTGCACAACCAGACCGTTGCGTACCTACTCTGTTTGATTGGCCTTGAAAAGCGCTGTCACATTTTTGACGACTTTTCAACATGCCTGTTGATCCCAGGGTTCTTGGTTAGTTCGGATTCGTTTTAGGCTGTCTTCAAAGTGCCCTTTTAGCGTCAGTTCGGTCTATCTTGTTCAGACTAGGCGTAGGAATGTTCTTATGGAAGAATCGCTCCGACAAGCGCTCGTTATCCGTCCGCACGATGTGTCGACCCAGCATAGCTTGAGCTGGTCCTCCCATGACCGCCTATGTGGGCTGTGACAGTTTGGCCGTCGCAGGGACGAAATCCATCGCGTAGTACGTAATGTGTGGCTTGGCACGGCTGACTTGAACGTGAATTGAGGCAGATTTCTCCAGCATCTACCACACTCTCTCCTCCTAACCTTCTTTGTTTCGGTGGCAAGACAACGTCAAGACGACCGAAACTTGGAACGGATGCAGTGACGTGCCACACACAACGCGGTCCGTATCTGCCATAGACCGCAGGCAGTGTGAATCGCCTATTTCCGCCCCGAATTCAGGGTATATCAGTAAATGCGCCGCACATGGGGCAGCAAGTGAAGCGCCGAACACAAAGCCCCCCGTAACCAACTGGATAAAACTCAAACCAGGCGTCTTTGTCTTTAGCTAGTTCTTGTGCGGATGTACGGTCAGGCTAGTTCACCCCATCTTCATTCACTGGGGGAACTACCCGCGTCTGGTACTAACGAAGATCGAGCTAAACCTGTTCCTGGACCCATCTTCTCTTAAATCGTTCTTCTTTCACGTCCGAGGGCAGAATAAGCAAATGCTTGGCCCTCTTACTAAACATCTGTCTCCCTCCTCAACCGAGATGAATCGGCTGGACGTAACGTTCACTGAGAGCGGCCACGCTATCCCTCCCCTCTCCCCCCCCCCTCATCACTACCTCCACACTGTTGGCTCAGCCTGCAGCTCCTTCAGTCTGATGTTCAACTTGATAGGCCAGAAGCTGCCGTCTTCTACTTTTGCGCGTTTGTACGCGTCCGCTGACCCTTTCGGATTGCCAGCTGCCCGATTAATTCGTGTCCTGCGCCCGGTTCGACCAACCCCCTTCACCAAGTGTGTCGACTGGCGCCGGGCGATTGCCGCCTACACTAGGCCCGCGGCCCCCAACATGTCAGACAGCAGCTATGCTCCGTTGCTATGGCCCAAGTCTGGGCCCCGGCGCCTGGCCCCCCGAGACGGGACGGCCGAGGGGCACCTAGATTGGGCGGCCATTGAGGTGGCGCCGCTCCTGGCAGCACGTCGTAGGCTCATAAACAACTGTGACGATAGGCCGTCATGTCCCCATGACCGGCGCCAACGCCGCCGCACACGCCTCCCACACCTGCGCCATACAGGCGTGACTGAATCAGTAAGCAGCATCTAGGCCGCGTCTGACCACCTGGCACATCGCTAACCCGCTGGCTGACACAGTCCTCCGTGTCAGTACATTAAATATCGAGATGCATTGCGGGGGGGGGGGGGAGCAGGGGACGCCAGAACGGCAATTCTGACTTATTTGCCGTGAGCAGCCAACGACAGTCCAAACCCAATTTCTGGCACCGAGTACTGCGGGCTGTTGGCTAGACAGAAACTCCGGTTTATGGAACCTTCGTACCAATTTTTGGAGGCAGAAGCCAACTACACCAAATTTATTTTGTCTTCCATCTGGATATATGTTAGCTGGAATGACCATTTCTGGCTTGTTAGCCGTCGTCAGCCAGTCATACCCAATCCTGAAGTGTGCAGCACCCAAGGCTCGAACTCGCGATCAGCTAGTTAGAAATGCACGCCTCTAACCACTGGGCCACGCGCCTGTTGCCCTGTCGGTTTCGATCGGGAATATACAATGGTAGGAGGCGCTCACCGACCGTTCTTACAGAACTCACTCGTTCCGTTGTGTCTTAAGGGCTCTCTCTCGTGCCCAACCAGCAGCCGTACAGCGGCGCATGATATAGGCAGTATGTTATTACCGACAAAGACAAAGCACAACGGAACGAGTGAGTTCCGTAAGAACGATCGGTGAGCGCCCCCTACCATTGTATATTCCCGATCGAAAATCGATAGGGCAACGGGCTCGTGGCTCGAGCCTCGGGTGTTCCACACTTCGGGGTTGGGTATGACTGGTTGACGACGGTTAATAAGCCAGAAATGGCCATTCCAGTCTCCCTTGTCTCCGTCGGTAATAATATACTGCCTATATCATGCGCCACTGTGCGGCTGTTGGTTGGGCTCGAAATAGAGCCCATAAGGCACAACGGAAGTAGTGAGTTCCGTAAGAGTGATCGGTGAGCGCCACCTGCCATTATATGTTAGTTTCTTGATCTGTAACGACGTCCTGTTCCCCATGGAGTTTATATTTTCCCCCTATTCCACGTACATACTTCGCCTCCTCAAGGCACACATCATCTAACCGCCACTACTAACCCATAGTGGGCACGGAAAAATTCTACAAATTGAGATTTGTCAATTTTGCATGGTAGAGTCATCTTTAATTCTGCCAAATGAATCTTTTAGGTTCCATGTAACAGAAATGGGACTTATGAGAAACTCGAAAGGTGTCCATTTGCTGTTTCACGGTGTTCTTGAAGATTGTCATACTATACTATCGGTCAGTTTCGAAGCAGCCGCACCTGCCTACTATCAAAACGCTTCTTGCACTCCTCTTGATCTACTTGCCCTACGATATGCATCCTCTTGAGGTTTCAGTTTAGAAAAGGCTCGGCTTATGAACCCCTCAGTACTGCAGGTAGCCTCGCAGCTTGCCTTTCTAGCCCCAAACCTTAAACCTAACGTTATCCTTAAGCCTAACTCAAACACTCCTGGAATTTAGGGCAAGGAGAGATCCCTATTCCAGGGCCCAACTCAGAAAAGCGCAAAAAATGCAATAATTGGCCAGAAAACTAGCCCTCAAACGCATAGGCATATTCGAAATTAAATCTTGGTGAAAACAAACACGCAACCTAAGTGAAAACATAAATTAATCAAAGTAGCCTCCATCACCTCCAAGACTTGTAGTGCGAAACTCCTCCAATTTGGACAAAGTTTGAGGGTGAATGCGGTCGGATCTTATTTGGTGGCCGCACCTGCAGTAGACGGGCCCCAGTTGTCTGTCATAAGGTACCGGGGACAATAGGGGATTTAACGCTAACGCCAAAACCTAATCCCTAACCTCTAACCCTAAGCCCTAACTCATAACCCTAACCCCCAACACTAACACCTAGCCCAACCCTAAGCCCTAACACTAACCCCAACCCCTAAACGTGACCCCTAACGTTAACCCTAACCCCCCTAACCCTTAAACCTAACCCCTAATAGGTGCGGCTACGAAATTAGATTTTACCGTGAATGCTTTTCGGTGCGTAGCAATAAGTATGTGCAAGTAATCTATCCAAACTATTGACCAGGCAAATATCTGTTTGCACTTATGTTAGCGAACTCAGGTTAATAATCGAAATATGACGCCATGATAGGACAAAAAACTGCAGTTCAAAATGTGTCAGGTCTCCCAGACTTTGCTTTGATTTAGAAATTTCCTTGCTTTTGTGCGTTGAGGCGCCACGGCGCGCGGAGCACTTCTCCACATTCCGGCGAGGGACAACGTAACATCTCAAGATAGTTTTCAACACGATGTGACGCATTTCATATTTATCAAGTGAAACGATGAATTCCTAAGAGAATCACTTTTGATTAGAGAAAATGCGTTCCTTGGCTTGAATAGTCCTCACCCAAAGCAATTCCAACCGGAAAATCTCCACTTTTGTAGCATTCTTCAGTATTTTATTTGTAAAGGGGGTGTGGCAGGTTCAGACTGACTGCCAGAAACTGTGGCTTATGCCAAGCCAGCATAACGAATTTAGGATATCAAGTTTACACAGTCTCTCATATCCATCTAGTCTTTCGAAAATGATCTAACATAAGTACCTTCATGTGAAGCAGTTTATCCGAAGTAAAACGTTCCAAGTCTTGACACTTGTGACGGGTTTATTTGAATAATAACGTATGGTATTATGTGACTTAGCTTATGAAACACGATGACGCGAATTGAGGCGATCAATTTTAGCCATCTAAAACGTTGCACACGTCTAGTCCGTCCCCAAAAGTGTCCTCTTTACGTGCCGGATAAGTTCATAAATAATTTCGTCAGTCGAAGTATTCGCAAACGTGGAAGGAGATTTACTTTACCCTATATTAGGGTAGTTTCCTGTGATAATAGCTGTCGTAGATTACGTTTACGCATTCATGCGCGTGTTTCTACTAGAGAAAGGTAAGCTAAACTCGAGAGTTTTGCCAAACGAAACTTCCTGCACCTGAAAACCAATTTTTTCTCCATGTAAGACAGATGTTGCAGTGTGTATGCAGGGTATTTTTGGAAAATCAGACACTTCATTGATTCTAAAAATTCGGGGTTACTAATCTGTGTGATTTTATGGCCCAAAACGCAGTGAAAACGCCTATATGCAATCGTTTGCTTAAACGGTTGAACACTTTCCTGCCCCTTGAGAATACTCAGTACCTTACCGCTAGAGGGCCCTCCGCCAAAGTGACTTTGTTAACTCTCATCGTATGGCACGATATTTTTTAAACGCTAGTTTCCACATAAACGTAATTGAGAAACGGAAGAGGCTGAAAATTAACTGTCTTAGCAGTAACTTTGGTAAACGCTTTCAAGGAATATCTTATTTTGAAGGTTTTGATAAACACATAACTCAGAATCTACCCTTACGGGCAGTCCATTAAAAACCCTTATAGTCGCGAAATATTCACCGATATTTCGAGGACGATCTGAGGTTCAGCGCACTCCAGCATATCGATAAACCGCAAGGAAATTTGGTCGAAGGAAAGTCTTAATATACACACAAAATGGTGTGTTTACGACTACACCTGCCAATTCTATTCAGATTTATTGGTAACTGACCAGCCTGCGAACATGTGACCTTGTGTAAACTTCTATTTTTATGACGTCTCTTCCGGTGAAATCAAGCGAACTCCTATTTGCCTTGGTCTACCGCATCTCAACCAATGTACGAACGGGAAAAATACAGCCGATTCTCGTGAAACCGTTTTATGAGTTATGCTCAAAATGTAGGCTCTTGGCTAACAGCCATACCTGATAACACGCTTATCTCCAAAGGACATTTAAGCGTAAAATTCCCTCGAGGGCTATTGTCAAGTGTTATTCTACTTGTGCCGTTGTATTTGCTTAGTTTTTTTCATTGATAGATTTTCTATACACCTACATCTTAGGTTTTTTCATTTAAACGATTTCTTGACATTTTCGAAATTTTCGTTTTTCTAGATAAATTGTTAATTCTAAACAAAGTATTATTCCTTTTATTATTTCTTTGATGTTTTCCATTCTCCAAAAATCTTTATTATTAGTTTGGAGCCTTAATCGATTCGTTTATGCCGGTTTACGAGCGATAGGCTACGTTTGCTAAGCTTCGGCGCATTTCATGAGCTATGGAACTTACTGTATCCCGAAAAGTGAAAAATCATCCAAAAACTGAACAGTTAATTTGGAGTACTTTTTTGAAGACTGTTAGGACGAATAGGCCATGTTTTGAAGCACTGTTGCTTATGCTGAAGTGCAGTGTCCACATTTTTACCACAGTAGCGACCACTTCCTGTTGAACTGCTCAGTGCATATAATATCCGTTAACTTGAGAAAGTCATGTGGTCTTGTTAAAATGGGGAATTTTCGAGAACTATCAATTCGTTCCAGTACGTGGCTTCAAACTCTAGGACGATATTTCGTTTTGAATTAACCCTAACTTGCATTTCTGGGGCAGCTGGGAGTGGGCTAGGGCTAAAACAGTTGTTTAGGTTAGCAATCGCCTGAACACCTGGGCATCTATGTTCCGGAGAAATGTTTTGCATAAGTAGGCTTTTCCAAATTTTGTACTGAACAATAAATGCCTGTAAATAACGCCGGACACATTTTGACACCTCGGGCTTGGGTATGACTGGCTGACGACGGCTAATAAGCCAGAAAAGGCCATTCCAGTCCTTTCATTCCATTCCATTCCTTGTCATTGTCGGTAATACCATTCTGCCTATATATCATGCGCCGCTGTGCGGCTGCTGGTTGGGCTCGAGAGAGAGCCCTTAAGGCACACCGGAACGAGTGAGTTCCGTATGAGCTATCGGTCAGCGCCCCCTAACACTGTATATTCCCGATCGAAAACCGACAGGGCAATGGGCTCGTGGCCCGGTGGGTAGAGGCGTGAACTTCTAAACCAACAGGTCGCGAGTTCGAGGCTCGGGTGTTCCACACTTCGGGCTTGGGTATGGCTGGCTGACGACGGCTAATAAGCCAGAAATGGCCATTCCAGTCTCCCTTGTCTTTGTCGGCAATACCATTCTGCCTATAAACTAAGTCTTTTGAGATGGCAAATTGTCATGTGACTTTATTTGTACTTAATTGTCAACTATCAACTGTCAACTGACCGGCTCGGTCAGTGGCAGAGACCTGGGAATGCGAAAGTGAGGTCGACGACTCTGCGCATTTTCCTTTTCTCTATAAACAATCTGACGCGCTTGAAGCTATCAGGATGCGCTAAAAGCCGTGACTTGGCAGGTTGCCAACTGACGAGATAACTTGGACATCGCAGTCGGCCCAGTGTTGTGCGTGTTTGTGTGGAGCGGCCGACTAGTGGTCTAAGAGTCAGGCTGCAATGGCTTCTTCTTAATGTGGCCTTTATGGCACTCCCACTCCGTGGGATCCGAGCCGGGCGATGGCGGCACGCCTAGGGGCGGTTTCGACCGCGCCAGCTTCTATTCTTTCGTTGTTGGTTAAAGTCCTGGTTATTTGTTATGTGGACCAGAGGGTGTGGAGTGGAGCGCCAAGGTGCGGGATCGACCGTGACATCCACCTGCACCCTCCTCCGTCTCCGGTCTTCTTGACTATATCTTACAGAGTTTGGCTGGGAGGGGGAGGAGGAGGAGGAGGAGGAGGAGGAGGAGGAGGAGGAAAGAGTGCGGTAGATGCTGCGCAAGTCCAAGTTCACTATAAACTTCATCAGACGCAAGTCACCATCCACCTACGCCCTCC